ATGCTGGGACTGTATGAATAAGCCTTTTGTCAACACAATTACCTCAAAGATAACCTTTCACTTTATACAGAAGTCCTCTTTATATGGAAAGCAGTGTTTGCTAATACTACATCCTTAGTCAAACATAGTGAAAACCAACCAAAAACTTTGGGTGGAGGTAATTTGGTATGAGAAGAAGGAAGAAATGGGCAGGCAAACCCAAACCAGCCATGGCTAGTAAGGGACAGCAGCCATCTGGTTAACATATGCTGGGAAGTTCAACTACCCCGCTGCTTGAGCAGATATGGCATTAGCACTGGTGATGTTTATAACATTCATTTTGTCATAATGGGAAAGAAGAAGAAAGCTTGCTTGAAAGTGGAGCTTTTAAATATAGTCAAAAGGGTTTCAAAAATATCACTGTGAGCCACCAAGATTTCTTTTAGAGGTTCTCTGAGACTCAGTACAACACTTCAATTTATTTACATTCATTTCCTTTTCCTCAAGATATTTGGTCAACTGAATTATTAATTACTAGACCAAAAAAAAAACACACACAAAAAAACCAAAAAACTCATCTTTTAATAGGTATATACATTTCCTGTCCTACATTTTATCTATACAAAAACTAAAATGTCAGGCGTTTAGGAGGTCATGAGGTCTTAAAAAGAAAATTAGCTCTCTCTACTGAACTAAGTAATAAAAAGGTACTAATAAGGGGCGGGGTGGAGTGAAGGTGGGTGGATAAAAATAAAAAGTAGCTTAATACATATTGTACCAAGAAAGCCTGATGCCCAGAGAGAATACTTTAACCTCTCACTATTTCCCCAGCCCAAATTTCACATACAGCATCATTACTCATTTCAATCCAACAAGATTTTACTAAGGCTTACTAAAAGCACCATGACTTAGAGGATAGAGGTCCCACTTTGGATTAAAGATGGCCTGGGTTAATGTACTGTTTCTGACACATACTAAATGTGTCCTTATATAGACTCTTCTGGGCAAGTCAAGACCTCACCCTTTGATGTCACTAGTTCTTTTGGAAAATGAAGGATAAACCACAATAAACAATACCAGGTAATTCTCTAAGACTAAGAGTTACTAAAAAGTTGCTGATCTGCATCAGTGGATGAAATTTCCACAAAGCCAGTTTCTCATCAATTTTCTTTCTGATGAAATCATAGGTCCAGAACAACTGTGCTATGTTCTAGATATTCAAAAACAAGACAGAAAATAGTCCCTGCTTTAAGGAGCTTATGCTGTACTTCTTTCAGTTACTGGGACTTTTTTCCTTATTCACCAACAGAGATAAATGGGAAAAGGATTTATTTTCTATAAGAGCCAAATCTAGGAACTGATCTCAGTCTTTGAACACAAAGGAATCCTCACACAACAAAACACTGAGCTTGAATAAATTGACCCATTGTTCTTTCACTTTGAAAATTAATTTATTTTGTACTTGAATATCTTTCTTCCAATAATAACAACAACAATCATTTACATAGCACTTTAAAGTGCTTTAACTGATCAACAAACATTTATTAAGCACCTACTATGTGGCAGGTTCTGTGCTAAGTGCTGGGGATTTAAAAAAAAGGCAAAAGACAGTCCCTACCCTCAAGGAGCTTACTATCTAATGGAGGAGACAACATGCAAAGCAAGCTACATACAGGATAAATAAATTAGAGGAAGTAATTAATAGAGGGAAAACACTGGAGTTGAGGGGTTGGGGAAGGCTTCTTATAGAAGGTGAGATTTTACTTGGACTTTAAAGAAGGCCAGGGAAGTCAGCAGTCAAGAGCAGAGGAGGGAAAATGTTCAGGGCATGGGCAACAGCAAGAGAAAATGCATGGAACCCAGAGATAGAGTGTCTTGGTGGAACAGACAGGAGGCCAGTGTCACTAGATTGAAAAGGATGTGTTGAGAAGTAAGGTGTAAGAAGACTGGAATGGTAGGAGAGGGCTAGGTTATGAAAGGCTTTAAATGCCTGAGCATTTTGTATTTGCTCCTGGAAGACACTGGAGTTTGTTGAGTGGAAGGGAGGGTGGGCTTACATGATGGGACCTTCGCTTTAAGCAAATCACTTTAGCAGCTGAATGGAGGATGAATTGAAATGGGGAGAGACTTGAGGTGGACAGATTCACCAGCAGACTATTGCAATAATCCAGCCATGAGGTGATGAGGGTCTGCACTAGAGTGGTAGCAGCCTCAGAAGAGAGAAGTGGGCATATTCAAGAAATGTAGCAGTGGTGAAACCAATAGGTCCATAATAATGGATAAGGGGAGTGAGAAACAGTGAAAGAAAGTTGAGGAGCCTAATGTAGATGGCCTTTTCCAGGAGTTTACCTACAAAAGGGAAGAAGAGATATGAGATGATAGTTAGTGGGGATGGAAATATCAAGTGAGAATTTTTTCAGGATAGAGGAAATATGGGGATATGCATAGGCAGTAGGAAATGAGTTAATGGACAGGGAGAGAATAAAAATAAGTGAAAGAGAGATGACAGAGGGGTCACTCTGTTTAAAGAGATAGAATGGAATAGAATTGCTTGAACAAGTTGAGAGGTTAGCTCTACAAACATTATTTCATTTGAGCCTCACAACCACCCTATGAAATAGGTGCTATTATCCCCATTTTACAAATGAGTAAATTGGGAATGAGTAAAATTAAGTAAATGTGAGTGCCTGAGGCAAGATTTGACCCCAGGTGTTCTCACTTCAAGACCAACAGTATACCACCTAGCTGCCTCAACCAAAAAAATCTTACACTTAGAAGAGACCTCAGAGGTCATTTTGTTCAGTCTATCCAATCAGAACAGCAATCATATCCATAACATCCTCCACAAGTGATCATCCAGTCTCTACTTGAAATACCTCCAGTGATAGAGAATTCATTACCTTACACTTTTGGACAACTCTTAACTGTTAGGAAGCTTTTCCTTATGTTAAACTGAAATCTGCCCCTATTGCTTCCTGTTCCTGCTCCTAATTCTGCCCTCTGGGGCCAAGTCAAATAAATCTAGTACCTCTTTAATAGGCCACCATTCAAATATTTGAAATCAGCTATCATATTCTTTTCCCACCTTGATAAGTCTTCTCTTCTCCAAGCTAAATATTGCCTAGTTACAAATGATCCTTGTATGGCATAGTTTCTGGCTGCCTCACCAGTTTGTCAATATCTCTCCTAAAATGTGGAATCTAAACCTGAACATACCTCAGAAGTGGTCTGACCAGGGCAGAATATTCAAAGATTACTACCTTCTTTGTTTTGGACATTATACTCTAATGGGTTTATAATCCAGATGATGATGAAGGTATCCTTCAACAAGGCATATTAGGACTAATAATAACAACAATAGATAGCATTTATATAGCATCTTATGTTCCAGTTTATCTTCACAACAAGCCTGGGACACAGGTGCTATTAATACCCCATTTTACAGTTGAGGAAACTGTGGCAATCAGAGGCTAAGTGATTTGCCCAATGTTATACTTAGCTAGTAAGTGTCTGAGGCTGAATTCAAACTGAAGTCTTCCTGAGTACGGGGCTCAGCACTCTATCCACTCCACCAACAAGCTTCCTTTATTCACGTTTGCTCAGCTGGTGCAATTTTTATTCGAAGTTTAAATCTGCCACAGGGCATCCACTTAATGTACTAGAGACCACTTAAGTTATCTTTACATTTCTTGGATACCAATGGAGCCCATTATGTGACCAACCCATCTTTTCTAGTCAAACATTTCTCTAATGGCATCCTATACACAGTTTTTCCTGTATAATTTCTTTATTTTAAGCATATTGAAATCTATTCATGCCATTTTCCATTGTCCTTTGGGTTATTCTCAAGTTTCAATCTCCAGGGATTACATAATATTCCATGACTTGCATCCATACAACACTGTCAGAAAAAAACTGGTGTTAAAAAGGTCTCTGTTTCCAGCAGAAGTATGGAGTCATTTAAAGACCTGTGCAATTTCACAAAGGAAATCCAACCCATTCCCCAGCTCAAATCTGGCCTCGGACACTTACTAGTTGTGTGACTCTGAGCAAGTCATTTAACTTAATCTGCCTCAGTTTCACCTGCTTTCCAGGGACGTGGTGAAGATAAAATGAGGTAATATTTGTAACCTTTTCAAACCTTAAGGTGCTATGTAAATACCAGCTATTGTTATTAACCACCAACAATTTCTAGACAGAAAAAAAAAACATGTTTTATTTATGCCTTTTCTAAGTTCATATGAAACAAATGCACAGAATTCCCCCCCCCAAAAAAACAACTTTATGCTTCTGAAAACGTCCATTAAAGTTACACCACAAAGGTCCCCCCACCGAAGCATTATCCTATGTGCCCTGTCGCCAGCGATGCTCTTCCTTAACACCAAAGCTAAATAGGCTTGTTTTCTAAAAAGTCCGAGGACTTGACGAGGGCAGAGTCCGGGCGGAGTCCATCACAAGTAAAACTTAAATGCCCACACGTTCCCGGTGACTCAGTCAAACCACTAGCAATAAACCTGGATTTCCTGATTGGGTGGCAGTACAAGGCACGACGGTCAGAGAGGGCGGGAAGCGAGGGGCGCCCAAGGACACGCGAGGGGGACAAGGAGGGCAGCCGTGCACAAGGGCTCCCCGCTGACATCGCCCACGGCCAAAGGGGCAGGCCGAGCTCGCTTCGACCCATCCCGGGAGGGTGTGCGGCTGTTCACCCTACGCTGAGACACTTCCGAGGTTAGTTTATTTTCCACAAACTGCCCGCGGCTTCCTCGCACCCCCGAGGAGCCCGCCCGCTGCCCGTGCCCCTGGCACCTGCCCCCAGCCCTGCCCAGGAACGAGACTCTGATCTCTCCGCCCCACCAACCCCAGAGATCGGCAACGCTTCCGAGGAGGCGGCGGGGGGCCAGGGCCACGACCGCCTGCCCGGGTGCTCGCCGCGGCTACGCGGGCTGGCCTCGGCGCCGGAGGGGCCTCGTCACTCCCCGCATTCCCCTCAGACTCGCAGCCCCGCTCCCCCGACCTCCTACCTACTCTTCTTTCCACCAACCGCCCGGCTAAATCAGTTCCCGAGTCTCGCCCTACAGGAGTCGCTTGTTTTGTTTCCGAAGGGATCTCTCAGCCACCGTAGCTTCCGGTTCCCGGGACCCTCGCGGGTGCTTTCTATGTCGTCACTTCCGGTGCGGGGCGTAGTGCTTGCGGAAACGTCGTGCTTGCGGGAACGTCGCCGGTGGCTGTTCTAGAGGCTTACTTAAGGCCGTTCTCGGCCCCGCGTTCTCTTGTGGGCCCCCCCGCCTCGCTCGGAGCAGACAGGGGGAACCCCCTAAGGCGACTTTTCAGCGTCTTCCTTGGAGAACACTTGAACAGGGCCAAAGAGGAGCCCCCCGCACCCTCGCAACCTCCCACCTTGGGCTGCCCCCTCTCCGCTCACCTTTGTTTAAAAAAAAAAAAGTTAAGGTGGACGACCTCCAAAGTCTGTAGGGGTGTGTGTATCGATGCTGTCAAAGGGGTGCGTCCTCTCGTAACTAAACAGCTGAAAGGTGCCCTTAGAGATCGTTTAACGAGCCCCAACCTTTTAATTTTTGCATACCGGGTTTGGACGTGCAGCGGTGATGTTACGCGAGTGCTTGGCTCAGGGCTGGAATTCTCCCCCGGAGCACGGGAGCCCCAGTTTCATTCCCGCCCCGTGCACGATGCCTTGCTGAGAGGCAGCGTGGTGCACTGGGGAAAAGTCCTGCTTTTGGAGTCGGTGGGCCCGAGTTCGAAATCTAGCTTTTCATTTATTACCTGTGTGACCTTGGGCAATTCATTTAGCTTCCCTGGCTATCGTTTTCTTATAAAAAGCTCGTACTAGATAACCTCTAAGACACCTTCCAGTTCTAAAATTTATGCTCCAGCTCCCGCTCCCTCTCCATCCACAGCCCTCGTCCCCGTCCCCCTTTATAATCCAGTGATACTGGCCTCCTTGCTATTCTTGACACGACACTCCATCTGTTAGTTGCAAGCATTTTCACTGGCTGTCTCAGTGTGCCTGGATTGTTCTCCCTTGTTCTCTGTCTCCTGGCTTCCCTAACTTCCTTACAGGCCAAGCTAAAATCCCACCTTCTACTGAAGGCCTTTTCTGTTCCCTCTTATTTCTAGTGCCTTTCTTCTGTTGATGATTATTCTGTATGCTGACTGTACTTAGTTGTTTGCATGTTGTCTTCCCCATTAGACAGCCAGCTCCTTGAAACAAATGTCTTTTACCTTTCTTTGTATTCCCAGTGCTTAGCAGAGTGCCTGGCACATAGTAGGTGCTCAATAAATGTTTATAGATTTACCGACTGATCCTCAATGGCCATCTGATCCAACCTATAACAAGAGGTTATGTCCAATATAACATACCCAACAAGTGATCTTTTAGACTCTGCTTGAAAAATACCAAGGCACCACTACTTCTAGGTAAGTTGTTTTAATTACTGCCATACACAATTTATTGAAAGGGCACTCAGAGGCCATCTAGTCCAGCTCATACTTGAACAAGAATCCTTCTACTATATAACAAGTTTTGCTTGAAGACTTCTGTTGAAGGCTACCTACTACCTGGAGGAAAAGCATATTTCACTTTTGGACAGCTATGGTCAGGAAGTTTTTCCTGACATCAACTAAAGTTGCCTTTTTTGCAACATCCATCCACTACTACTGATTCTGCCCCCTCCAGCCAACCAGAAGTCTTAATTCCTCTTCCCTGTGATAACCCTTCAAATAACCAAATACAACTTTCATGTCTCCCTTTTCAATACCCTTAAACTATGTATGGTAGCAAGATCTGAATACAATACTCCAGATTAGGTTTGATTAGAACAGAATGCTAGGAGCTCTCCCCTTTCTAATGCAGCTAAGATTGCATTAGGTGTTTTTTGGCTGCAGCTTGCATTCCACTAAAACCTCCAAATATTAATAACAAGTGCTATCTACCCATGACTCTGCATATTACACTTATAAAGTTAAATTTATTGTACCTAAGTGCAAGCCCTTACATCCCTGTTGAATTGTTTCGTATTAGATACAGCCCAGTGCTTCAGCCCAGAGGTTCTTAAGCTGGGGGTCTGTAAATTTCTGAGGATCTGTGAACCTCAATGGTAAAAGAAACACAGTTTTGTTTTTACTAACCGTTAGCTGAAATCTAGCATTTCCTTCGTTACAAATATAGGCAACAAACATTATACTGAAATGACCATAGGTTTCACCAGATTCCCGAAGAAGTCTGTGACACAAAAAAGGTTAAGACCCCCTAAATCTTGATTGTCAAAATTTTTTTGGATCCTGTAGCCCTCCCAGTTTTGTGTAATATGCAAAGTTGATAAGCATATCTAAAAGTCATTGTTAAAATGTCAAACAGAACAGGGTCAAGTTCAGAACCCTGGGATAGTATATTGAAATCCTGTCACTTTGCCAATTAACTGCTCTGATTAGTAATCCAACCATTTCCTAATCCACAGCTCTCCATCTCCACAAGAGTATGACACTTTATTAAGATTTTGCCAAAATTTAGGTAAACTATTTCCAAGGCATTCTCATATACTTAGTAATCCTGTAAAAAAAAAAAAAGATCAGTTTGGGATGATCTGATGAAGCCATGATGGATCTTTGTAATCAACCCTTTTCTTTCTAGATATATTCACCAGCTATCGCCAAATAATCTATTTTGGGGTGTTCCCTGGCTTCCATTTGAAATCAGAGACAATATTTGTGCTTTTATAGTAATGAGGTGCCTCACCCATGATCTTTCAAATAATGGCTGATAATGACTCAGTGATCATATCTGCCAGTTCTTTACAGGCAAGCTGTAATTCATCTGGGCCAGGTACTCGAATTCATTCTAGGACAACTAGGTGCCCCTTTAACAACTCCTTATGTGAAGGGCCGTGACTCCCTGTTGTTCATTCTCTTGCTCTGTCTTTTCCCTTGTCAAGACCCTTTTCAGTGGAGCAACAAAAGAATTGAGCAGCTCTGCCCTTTCTCAGTAGTGATCCCATCTATCCCAAGGCAAGATGTTATCCTTCTTGATCCTCCTTACAATGTAGCTAAAGACTTTCTTGGTGTCCTTAGTTCACCTTGATAATCTCAGCTTATTCTGCACTTTCACATTCTTTATGTCATGCTCTCATATTCATCTTATTTATGTTACATGGCCTTCCATCTTCTGAATATCCAAATAAATGAGTGAATCTAAGTTGATTGGTAGGAGCTCCCTGTGCATCTACATTGAATTCTTCAGATAAATCCCGTTTTTTTTCTTTTTCATTGGAACTATTTCCCTTTGGGTCTTCAAAATTTCATTCTTCTTCCAAGGGCTGAAGCATTTTTATCCATGGGATCCTACCAATCACCGCTCTGTACGCTTTGAAATCTGCTTTCCCAAAATTTGGGCCAGACTGTGCCCAGATTGGCTCTCCTGTCACAAAATCTTGGATGGAGTGGCCACATATTTCCAAGCTTCCCATGTATCCCTCCCAGAAACCAGTTCCTCCTTTTTAGAGAGAATCAAATCCAGAATGAGGTTCCCTTATTGGTTCCACCACCTTTTAAAGGATGAAATTATCACTAGGACAAATCGAGAAGTTATTAGTAATTTTCTTGAAAGCTCCAGATGTCTGAATAATTGAAGTCTCTCATCACTACCAGAGCATATTTCTATGCTAGGTCTGTGATATTCCCCACACTCATCTATTTCCTTTCTGTCTAGATGGTCTATGACAGGGGCAGCTAGGTGGTGTAGTGGACAGAGTTCCTGCCTTGGAGTCAGGAGGACCTGAGTTCAAATCCGGCCTCAAGACACTTGACACTTACTAGCTGTGTGACCCTAGGCAAGTCACTTAACCCCAGATTGCCTCACCAAAAAAAAGAACTTGGCTGAATTAGATAGTCTGTGACATACTCCAATGAAAATCAGTTCTGCTGCTTCTTTGACCTTCACCCAAATACTCCATCATGTTTTTCCCCTTTGATTCCTGACTTTCTTCAAATGAATATACCTTCCTAAAATGCTGCTGAAGATGGTAGAGTAGCAAGCAACATAATCAAGCCTCTATCCACAAAACTTCTCAAACCAAATCTAAAAATGCACTGAATCCTGATGGGGAAATCTAAAAAAAGTCACAGTGATTTCTTTGCTCAGCCCAGCTCAGCACTGGGAGATGGATCTGCTGACACTGAGGACTGGGTTAGGAGAGGAACACACTAAGCATGTAGAGCACTCTGGTGCCCATGGAGTCTCAGATCCATATGGGGCACTTCCAGGCCCACACTGGGGCACTGCAACAGGGACAAGTGCCAACTTGCAACTTTCTCACCCACTACCCAGTTCTCAGTGCCAGGAAGACTGAGAAGAGCCTGCACAGCGTGTCATTCATGGATAGGGTGGCTCTCGGCAGTGTATGGAGAAAGGAAGTTCAGAAGCAAGCAGCACTTTGGCTCAAACCATAGTAGCAAAGTGCAATCTCAGTTCCAACATCTAACCCAGCCTGCAGAGAAATAACCAGAACCTGCTGTTTTGTTGTTCTGAACCAGCAGACCTTCTTGGCTGGATGACAGGGACCGAGTATAACATTTTATGAAATGAAACTACCAGGAACATCAGAACCAAAATCCAGAGCTTTTATGTCATAGGAAAAATACTATAAGCAGCCAGAAAGGCAGAATTCAAATACCAGAGAGCCACAGTCAGGATCATAAATGATTTAAGCAGCCACCACAATAAAGGAACAGAGAACTTGGAATATGAAATTCCAAAAGGCAAAGGATATATAGACTTACAGTCAAAAATAACTTACCCAGCAAAACTCAGTATAATGCTATTGGGAGAAAAATGGATCTTTAATGAAACAGAGGATTTCCAAACATTCCTGATGAAAAGGCCAGAGCTGAATAGAAACTCTGAAATTCAAACATAAGAGGCAAGAAAAACATAAAAAGGCAAATAGGAATGAACAGTCATAAAGGTCTAAAGGATAAACTGCTTACATTCAAATATGGAGAGATGGTGTGTCCTCTCTGAATTCTTATCAGGGGTCATAGAGGGAGTCTATCAGTAAAGGCCTAGGAATGGTTCTGTTATGTCTTGATCTTAAGAATGGTGAGATGAAAAGCAATACA